GAATGCTTCTCTTAGCACTGCTACTTCACATTGTATTGGTTCTATCCTGTGCGGTAAAGCTATGCTTTAGCTAGGTATATAGACAGATATATGTGACATTTATGTTGGAAAAGAAGGATTAAAGTTGTCTTTATGTGCAGTTGATCTGGTTTATGTGTGTGTATGTGTTTAGAAAATCTGATGGAATGTGCAAAAAGCTACACTATCAGAACTAATGACAGGGTGTTTTGTTTGTTTGTTTTGAGACAGGGTCTTGTGTAGTGTAGCATGGCCTTGAAATTGAGGTGGGTGGGTGGGGGTCCACCTGCCTCAGCCTCCCAAATGGTGTATATATATAGAGGTGTATGCCACCATGCCTGGCCAGAATAGTGAGTTTAACAAGGTTGTATGATCCAAGAAAAATATACAAAAACCATTTTTATGGTTTAGAAGAGGTACACAAAGACCTGAACATAGGAAAATTATAAAATATAGCTTAGAGAAATTGATAAGTACTGAAATAAGTGGAGAAATATATCCTTGTGTATCAAAGCCTTTACATTGTTAGAATATCATTTATGTAGTTACTATAATTCCAGTCAAAGGTCCAGCTGTGTTGGGCTGGGGAGGTGGCTCAGTGGAATAAACGCTTCCCTGGCAAGCACAAGGGCCTGAGTTCAATTCCCAATTCCACAAAAAAAAAAAAAAAGTTCAGTTGTGGTTTTGTAGAAATTGACATAGTCTAAAATTCATATTAAAAAAGATATGTAGAATATCTGGGACAAGTTTTGATTTTCTAGATTTTTTTTTGTTTTTCATGGTACCAGGGTTTGAACTCAGGACCCTGCGCTTGCCAGGCAAGTACTTATTCTACTGAGCTATCTCTCCGGTGCTGGGACAAGTTTTGAAAAGAACAAAATTAAAAGATTAACCTTAACATAAAAAATTGTAAAGCTACACACATACTTGTAATCTTAGCATTTGATAGGCTGAGACAGGATTGCTGGTAATATGAGGCCAGCCTGGACTCCATAGTGAAATCCTGTCTGAGAGAGGGAGAGGGAGGGGAATATGGAGGGAGGAGAGAGAGAGAATTATAGAGCTGCAGTGATCAGGACTGTGGTATTGTCATTAAGATAAACAGAATAATGCCCAGAAAAAAGCTTGTTACCAGTGAACAACTGGATTCAATAAAAATACAGTTAATCCAAGAGAAAAGAGATGGTCTTTATAATATAAGGTGTAAATTTATATTATCTTAGTTACTCTTCTCTCATTGCTGGGACAAATACCCGACACTCAAAATGGAAAAAGGAAAGGTTTAATTAGCTCACAGTTTCTGGAGGTGTCAGTCCATACTTGGCTGGCCCCAAGGCAGAGTGGCACATGGCAGAGAGCAACCTTTCACGGCAGCTGCAAAGAGCAGAGAGCAGAATGGAGGAGTAGCAGTAACAATGGCAACAGAGAGTAATCTGTCTCCCTGTCTCTCTTATGTGGTTTTTATTTTTTATTTTATTTTATTTATTTTGTAGGTTAGGGAAGGGTCTACGGGGTGTTCAGGGTCTCCCTACTAGATTGGATTTGTGATCTGCCTGTTTACAGCCTCCTAAGAGATAAGATTACAGGCGTGCGCCACCACACTCAGTCTCAGTTGCTATAGGTGCTTTAATCTGCTGAGCTATTTGGCTGGCAAAAAAGGTTTATTTGTTGTTGTTCTGTGTCTCTCTTATGTTACATTCAGGCTTTCCACCCTAGGCTGGGTATAGCACTCACATGTATAATCCCAGCAGTACTCAGACCCATATTCTCAGTTTTGGATCATGAATTAATCACAAACTGTAGAACTGTGCCTCAATGACTGCCTGAGGCTTTGGGGGGACAAATATACACAAACCATAACAGGTATGTATGTACAGAAAATGAGCTTACGTACATATTTTAAACCATATACATGAGACCCTGTCTCAGAAAAATACTAAACCTAAAAAACCAAAACAAAGTTTGATTGTGGTGGTGCATGCCTATAATCCCATCACTCAGGAGGCAGAAGTAGGAGGATTATCTCAAGTTCAGGGCTAGCCTGGGCTACACAGGACAGCCTGAACTGCATAACAGTACCTTCTTTTAAGATGGGAATCACAGTATTGTCAGGGGTGATTGACCCAGACTATCAAGGTGGAAATTGGATTAGTGTTCCACAGTGAGGAAAGGAAGACTATACCTAGGAAATACCTTGAGGCGCCTCTTAGTATTACCATGCCCTGTTATTAAAGTCAATGGGAAACTACAACAACCTAATATAGGCACAATGACAAAGGGTCCAGAGCCTTCAGGAATGAAGGTATGGGTTACTCCACCAGGGAAAGAACCAAGACCTGCTGAGGTGCTTGCTGAAGGCCAAAGGAATACAGAATGGGTAGTGGAAGAAGGTAGTTCTAAATACCAGCTACAATTCTGTGATCAGCTATAAAAAAGAGGATTAATAGTTCTGTTATAATATTGATATATTTAATACTGGTTGTTAAAGATTATTAAACCTGTGTTAATGTTCAAGTTATGAAATGTTTAAGGATAAGCATCAAGCAAAGAAAACTTAACCTTCTATTTTGGTAAGGTAAGGGAATTAATGTATTTTCGTTTGTACGCAGGATAGTTATAACACAAAGCACAACTGTGTGCATATCTTTGTATCTGGAGACTGGTTTAAAGAAAGATTTCAAGTTGCCAAGTTGACAAGGGGTGGATTGTAGTGGTTGATATATTGTGTCAAGTTGAAAAGTTGAGAAGCAGCTGCTTACCTAAATGGGCTCAGCAATTCCACACCGTGGGGTATGGAGGTATGGAGGCTCTAGAGTGACTCATCACTTAAAAAATATAAAGGGGAATTGAGGAAGGGTGGAGCTTTGTGTTTCCTTGGGAGAGTTCAGGTCTTGGCAGTCAGCTTTGGATGTTATCTCCTGGTTCTAGAGCAGACTCTTGGCTTCTGCCTTGGATCCTTTAGCCTTCTGGTGTATAGTCATTAGCCTTCCATCGCAGACCATTCCACTCCTGATAAGGACTTGCAGGGAGCACTGCAGAGAGCTCCAGACCTTGGGACTGAATCCTTCAGTCTACAGTGTGCGAATGCCCTCTGCACGCTTCCTCATCTGACTCTGCAGCTGACCCTTGTAAGCCAATCTTGTAATTTTCTTATACATGTGTACATCTTGTGTTACATCTTGTGTTCTAGTAAAACCCTGACTGATACAACCCAGCAATAAAAGGGCAAAAATAAATGTAAAACTACAAATGAATTCCAAAATAATTAAGCTGAGTAAAAAAAGACAAAGAGTACATATATCATGATCTCCTTTATATAAAATAATTCTTCCTTTTCCTCTTCTTTGTCTTTTTCAGACAGGGTCTTGCTGTGTAATTCAGGCTGACCATGAGCTCACTTTTTAGCCCAGGCTGGTCTGGGACTCAAAATGATCTTCCTGCTTCAGTCTCCCAAGTGCTGGGATTACAGGTGTGTGCCACCATGCCCAGCCTCCCTTATATAAAATTCTAAAATGTACAAACCATAGAAAGATAGATCAGGCACAGCTGCGTATACCTATAATCCCAGCTGCCCAGGAGGCTGAGACAAGAGGATCACAAGGCAAGCCTGGCTAAAATTGAGAGACCCTGCCTTTAAAATAAATAAATAAATAAATAAAT